CATATGTTAGTTATCAGACTCTGCTTTATTTTTTAAGTCTATTTTTTAAGTGAGTGAGACAGAGAGACGGGGGCAGAGATACGACACCCCTAACAGGTTCTCGACGCTGCAATCCACCCCCAGTGTCTGCCAGCCCAGACCAGGGACGCAGGCGTGTCCCGTGTACTCAGGGAGGTCTCTGGGCGGTAGCTGCCAGACCAGAAGGTCAGCTTCAGCTTCACAGTAGCACATTTTACTGCTGTGCCGCTGTCTGGCCCCCAGACCCTCTTTTAAGCCAGATCTACCATTTCGCTGGTTCTCTCAGGAATGAGCTGGCACCATCTCTCACATGGGCTCATTATATATTTGAATGAATTTTTTAAAATTTGTTTTAAGGTTTTTACCATAGAGCATGTACACTCTCCAGAGAGAGAGAGACAGGGAAAGGGAAGGTGAGAAATCACCCCGCAGTGGGGACGGCCATGCCACAATCCCTCCTCCCCCATCCTCCTCTCAAGATTTTGGGCATTCACACACACATGCCCTGTGTGATTTTCAAACCACTGGGTTCAGGACTCAAACCACAGACAGCTGGGTGGGAGTCCTAGTGCCTTAACCACCACTCCACCTGCTGGCTCGTCTTAAAAATGATTTTTAATCATTCAAGAATGATTCTCTCACATGAGGGAAGATTTCTATTTTGGTTTTGCTTTCTTTCAAAGAGAAGTTCCTGGCATGAGCAACTTGGCCCGAGGTACGTCTCCAGGCATCTGGCTTCTCCTTGGTCACCAGGGTATTTGAGGTGTCGCATGGTTTCCCAGGCAACGGCAAGAAGACGGCTCTCTGCTGTCAGTGATTGTCCCAAGGGTCCTCCCTGCTCCAAGGCCGAAGACCCTCACCCCATTTCCATCTCCAAGTACTGCTCTGCCTGGCTCTAGTGCCCAGGCTTAGCACCCCATCTTTCCAGGATCTAGACCTCACCAACCCTGCTCCTTCCCTGCACACCTGCCTACTGGGCTGCCCAGAGCAGAGTTCCTGCCCACCAACATGGAGGAGGGCCAGGTGGTTCTACTTGAAATTGGGACATGGTCTCCCCTCAGGTGATACCCCTCTTGCCCAACACTCCCTTATCCATTTCAAAATAAGAAGCAGTCATTTATCAGGTCATCAAAAACATTGTGATGTATTTTTTACTATGCTTCTCTATGCAAAAATGCCACTTGACTTCTCTGACGACCCCGTAAACCCTTCAGTATAAACTGAAGGCCCTGCCAAGGCACGTGCACTTGAAATCCTTTCTCCCAAAACTGTAGAAGAGAAGAAGAGCTTTGCCTCTTGGTAAAGAAACTCCAGTCCCTGGGAAGAGGCTCAGAAGGGATCCATCTCTGTTTGCTCTGTAGTGTAAGGGCGAGGGAGGGAATGACAGAGACTCACCTTAGACCGATTCGTTTATTTAGGATATCTTGTAAAGTGACGGTGGTAGATTGTGCGTTCGTAATCACCTGAGCACCTTCCCCAGTTCAACACCTTGTCTTCAGGGCCTTCCTGATTGGTGTTTGTTTGTTTGTTTTGAGAGATATTTGCTATAAGGAATGTGAGCTCACTGGAGAGACAGAGAGACAGAAAGCAAGAAATCACCCCCCCCCCAAGGGGGGCAGCCACCCTGCAGTCCTTTCTCCATTCTCCCCTTGGGATTTTGGGCATCCATGCACATGTGCCCAGTGTGAGTTTTAAGCTGCTGGGTCCAGGACTCGAACCACAGTTGACTATGTGGGAGTCCAGCAACATAACCATTATACAATCTGCTGGTCCCCAGTTCTTTTTTTTTAGTTTTCACCATAGAGTGTGTGCACTCACTGGAGACAGAGACAGAGAGAGGGAAAGTGAGAAATCCCCCACCCCTTCAGGAGAGATGGCCATGCCATTCTCCCAAGATTCTGGGCGCCCGCACACACGTGCCCAGCATACTCAAGGCACTGTGTCTGGGACTAAAACCGTGGTTAGCCATGTGGGAGTCCAGCGCTCTAGGCACTGTGTCACTTGCTGGCCCCCTTCCTGATTTCTTAGCTTTCTACACAAGTCTACACCATGGAACACTTGCAAGTAGACTTTGGTGTTGACCATCCCAGCCTCTATCCACTCTTCTCATTTGTAACAGCAGGCACATGACTGGTTGGAGGAAGGCAGATCAGCTGATTGGTTGGGATACAGCTCAGCTGATTGGTTGGAAAAGACAGATCAGCCAACTGGCTGGGGAGTAGACAGATGATATGACTGGCTGGGAAAAGGGAACAGTTGTTTGATTGGTAAAGAAAATGCTGATTGGTTGGGGATAGACAGACCAGCCAACTGGCTTGGGGGAGGAATTCATAAATCTTTCCAAAGGAATTTACAGTTTCAGTCCTGAGACTTCTTGGGTCCAGAGTTGCTGGAGAACAAGGTTTGGTACTTCCATCTTGTGTATGTTTAGTGTGTATGATGAGAATTAAATGCACCCAGTACTGAATAGAGCTTGGTGCGTGTAAACATTTGAAAGAAAAAAAACAAAAATGGGATTATAGCATCATCATGTACATAGGACAATTTGGGGGTCTGTTTTATTACTCAAGAAATTATTCAGCATCTTTTGATCTCAGTAACTATTTCTACAATATTATTTTGAATGACTGACTAGCATTCCACCCATGACTTTGCCACAGGATAATCCACCATGTTCAATATTTAGACTTTTCAACATTGGTTGATTACTATAAAGAATACAAAGGAATCAGCAAATGGCGTAATGCTTATGTCTTTAGACTCCCACGTAGTCGACAGTAGTTCAAGTCCCGGACCGGGCAGCTTAAAACTCACGTCAGGCATATGTGCATGCATGCCAAAAATCCAGAGAAGAGAATGGAGGAGAAGGGATTGTGGCATGGCCATTCCCCCACCCCGCCAAGGCTGGTGATTTCTTGCTTTCTGTCTCTCTGTGATCGCTCATGTCCTATAGCAAAAATCTCTCTCTCTCAAAAGCAAACAAACAGACAAACAAAACATAGAACATCCTTATAGCAAAATCTTAGCACATTCAGACTTCATCAGGATAAACTTGGAAACAAAAGTCCTGGATGAAAGGGTATTCTTTCTGATGCTTTTAAGAACACTGCTTCCCTTTTTCTCACCAACACTGGTATTTTTATTCTATTTTTATTTTTGCCAATTTGATAGCGGAAAACTGTGTCTTGATTTTCAGCTTTACATTTTTTTTTTTATTACTAGTGAAAGTGAATATTCTGGGGAGTTGTGGATTGGCCTTCATGGTTCTGTTCTGAACCTTAGTACTTGTATAATCTCCTTTATTTCTATTTCCATTGGTGTGTTTACCTATTCTTTTTAGAGGTTTTTGCTATAGGGCGCGTGCGCTCGCCAGACAGACAGAGAGAGAAATAGAGACAGAAAGCGAGAAATCACCCCCCGGGGGGATGGTCACACCGCAATCCCTTCTCCTCCATTCTCCTCTCGGGATCTTGGGCACGCACGCACATGCGCCCGGCGTGAGTTTTAAGCCACCGGGTCCGGAACGAAAACCGCAGTCGACTAGCCATTATGCTAACTGCTGGTTCCCTGTTTACCTATTTTTAAGCTGACTAAAAAAACTGTTCGTGAGTTTGATATATTAATTTTTATATATTAATTGATATATTAATTTAATATATTAATGTTTTTGCTTGTCATTTATCTTACAGTGGATTTTGCCATATAAAGCTTTCAATTTTATGCTCTCAAATGTGTCAATCTTTTTCTTTATGATTTTTGTCTTAGGAGATACA